TCTTACTTTTTTCAAAGAAACAAAGAAAGAAACAAAACACTTCAAAAGACTTTTGGTAATGGATTATTTAGAGTGTTAAAGTTTTCAGTACCATGAAACAAGTGTCCTGCTGGACTTCACTAACTAGGGGATACATGCTTTAATGGATGCCTGAAGCTAAACATGGCATCAAATGTAATATTCATACATGCTTTCTTTATGCATAGATCTTATTATAAAGTTTAATTTATAAATTAAATGGATGGATATCAAGTAACAAAATAGAGTATTTGTAGCGATGTGTTCAAATTGCCAACATTGCTGCTCTTCCGACTTGGGGGCAGTAGTAAGTAAAATAATGATTACTTAAACACAGTGCTGAAATGCTAACACCAATGAAGTAGGCCTGAGAATCAAGATGACAACGTGGTTGCTAATGAGATGGTGGTATACACCGAATGGATGGGAAGAAAAAGGGTAATTAAACTCCCTTGTAGGATGGAGTAATAGTGAGCACATATAATTTAAAATTTATGAGTTGTTTATATCTGGAAATGTCCATTTAAAATTTATGAACTATGTTCATCTATGAAGCAACAAAACTCTAAGAAGTAAAATTATGGAAGATTATTGAGTCTTATAGTATCAGAATACCAAAAAATAAAAATTGATAGAATATACTCTCTGTGCCAAAAATTGAATTAATTTCTCACATATATAATTTATTCTTGAAAACTCACAAAAATAGATACTGTTAGAATTTTACAGATGAGAAAACTGAGACTCAGAAATAGAACACTTTATAAGTCTATTGTTGTAAATAATATAGCAAAGACTTGAACTTATTCTTCTGTTACTATAAATACCTTATTCTTGACTTTTACATTATCAGCTTTGCAAGAAACTGAATTACTTCTCCATGCATTCCAAACCCTATGTTCTCTCAATTCACTTTATCAAACACCTCTAAATACATAGTCGTCCCCTGAGAAGGTTTGAGGAGCATTCTCTCAGTTGCTCTCTTATTAATGCTGAGACAATTTGCTGAGCCTCAGCTGCCCCTGCTGTCCCTGTGACAGAAGATAAATCAGGGAAGTGATGAGAAATTAGATTTCTCTTCTTTCTATTATTGAAACAAAACAAAAAGTCAGCACAATAAGAGGTTGTAAGCAACATAACTGCCTCTCTTCTCTTCTTGTGAGTTCCAAGCTTGGAGATTTGAGTTTTACTCCCTACAAAGTCTCCTGGTTTCCTACTCTATTTCCCTAAAACTCATTTATCAAGAGTAAGCAATCTACCACAGGAGACTGAGTGACTGGCCTTCACCAGATGGATGCTGAACGTGAATCAACAAACTTATTTTCTTATTGCTAGAAGATCTTTAACTAGGACATTTAGAATTTTATAAGATTCAAACAGGTGTGATTTAATGACCTGATCTTTGGTTTCACAGATCGTTTTCCCAGTGGACAGTTCTACTACTAATTCTATACTATGTCATGAGAACTTTGAACTGCATAGTAAATGTCCTGTTCTAAAAAGTCTCTCTCTCTCTCTCTCTCTCTCTCTCTCTCTCTCTCTCTCTCTCTCTCTCTCTCTCTCTCTNGTGTGTGTGTGTGTGTGTGTGGGTGTGTGAGAGAGAGAGAGAGAGAGAGAGAGAGAGAGAGAGAGAGAGAGAAAACATAAAACCTGTGATTTTGTCACAATCAACATGATTGGAATAAACTATTTAAATTCTTTGAATCTTCTTCTCTACTTTCCAAAATTAAAGAGAGAATAAAAATAAACACAAACTCCAAGTCTTTTGTTAAAAAGATACAAACATGGAGATGCTGTATGCACTTTGATGTGGTTCTCAATACTTAGAACTGCTGTCTTCATAAAAAATGTAAATTAGCATGGCTTTATTTAGTTTAAACTTAAGAAAAGGTGGATTCTTAAAGGCTTTACTATAGTAAGTTTGGGAAGTAAGTCTATAACAAGTCTTAACAGAAATCTATTTTCATGCCTCTTTCATTTTGAAACTTTAAGATGAAAAAAGTCCTATATTATATTTGATTAAAGAATGAACAGAACAATCATCTCTGTGAACAATCTTTTACAAATATATTATACAATCAAGCTCCTGGGACACTGTGGAACCTGTTCAGTAGCTATCATCACAGTTTTGGTCCAGAGAATTCCCATGCTCCATATTGAGATAATCACGTTTGCTTGGCTCTCCAATTGCCACTTCATAAAGAATGCACTATTGGTCATTTAATATTTGTCCCACATTGTCTACAGACTCTGAATTATTATTTTTAGTTGCAGACCTTTACAATACCCAATGGCATTTACAGCCGATGACAGCTATAACAGATGATGCTGAGCCAAAGCTACTAGGAGTGAAACTTAGGAAATAAAATGATAATAAATGTCACTCAGTGCATAAGTAGTGTCTAAAATTTGTTCTAGTGCACGTCCAATATAACAGAGTATGTAAAATTCAAGAAGCAGAAAAATGTTGAGACCTTCATCATACAAGGAACACTAATGTATATTTTGTGTCATCTTATGTTGGAAGTGTGTGATTTGCTTTTTGCTTTTACTTTTACAGAAGGTTATGGTTAAGAGATAGCCTTGTGTCTCAGAAGAGACATTGGATTTTGGACTTGTAAACAGTGTTGAGATTGTGAAAGATTTTGGGAACTTCTGAAGTTCAACTAGATGCAGTGTGAGTTGTAATACGCCTATAAACCTATATGGATCGAGGAGTAGAATGTGATTTGAATGAAAATGGCTCACATGGGCTCATAAATTTGAATGCTTGGTAGTCAGAGAGTAGAACTGTTTGGGAAGGGTTAGGAGGGTTAGTAGGTATGATCTTATTGGAGGAAGTGTGACACTGAGGGTGGGCTTTGATGCTTCAAAATTTCATGCCAGACTCAGTCTCACACTCTCTTCCTCTTGCCTGTCAATCAGGATGTAAAGTTCTCAACTACAGTTCCAGCACCATGTCTGTCTTCTTCCTACCATCATCATCATAGGCTCACCCTCTGAAACTATAATCAAGTCCCCAATTAAATGCTCTCCTTATTAAAATTGTCTCAGTCATGATTTCTTTTCACAAAATTCAAATAACTAAAACAGTTATGTTAGTCTGAACCTCATTAATTTTATTAAAGCTGAGATGATATTATCAAAATATTACAAATTTAATATGAGATTTAAGAAAACTGAATGCAAAGTTACAGTTTCTTGTACCTGAACACCCAACAAAGCAGAACATGGCAATAGAAGGCAGTTGAGTTGGGGACTAGATTTTGGCAATAGTTCCACTAGCTGAAGGAGGTTAGTCAGGAAAGAAATGAGAGTTGTTTGATCCAAAGAAATATTATCAAGCTATTATTACTGTGAACTTTTAAGTTCAGTCCCAAAGGGTACCCACTGGACTATCCTTAAGAATTTCCAATCAAGAAAAAGAAGAGAATGTGTTAGTGATGAGTAAAACTGAAGACTGTCAATACCCAACACAAAGGATTGGAGGTAGATATATGTGATCCACAATGATCTTCTAAAGCATCTTCTAGAATTTCACATTGTAAGTATAGGCAAGGATCAAAAGGGAGACAGGGAGGACATCTGAGACACTTGGGATATACATAGTGGAAAACTAAAGGAGCAGAGGTATTAGGTGAAATATAATTTTGTTCCCAGCACATCTGATGGTCAGTGGTCTGTCTTGTTGCTGTTAGTGGTGAGGTTGTCACACAGAATTCCTTAAGAGAATACAGGTTGTTATGGAACTCTAGAGAAGGAAGAAAATTCTCAATCCTGGGAAATTTCTGGACAGTCTTAAGACTATAAACATTTCTAACATTCCTAGGAAAGACCCATAAAAGGTCCAGGAAGAAGATCAACAGGGCCATCTAGCTGGCAACCAGAACAAAATAGACATAAGTAAACATCAAAATAAGATAAGATTTACCTTGTCATATGCAGTTTTAAGGTTTATAAAACCCTCTAGCATGTGTCATATTATTTGAAGTTACTAGGGAAACATGAAAATATCTGATCTAATCTTCATTTTATACACGAAGAAATATGAAATTTATTCATGCTAAGGCTCTAAACCAAGGATTCATTGTCTATTTTTGTAATACCTGAGTGTAAAAACACCCACATTCATCCAAATGTGAAATATTCCCTGTGTTCATTAAAATTCCTTCTCACAATGGCTTGTCGGCCTTCAGACTTACTTTGATTCTAGTGACACAACTATACTCTACCAGCTACTGGAGCGGAGTTTACCTTCACCAAAACACATTTCTATGGCTACTTTCGTGACTCCATCTCTGAACAATGATAGCAGCCAAATTTGAAGAAGCTTACACCTAGATACTATGTGTTCTAGACAGTTCCTGGCAGGAATTAACTTCAAGAGGATTGGCAAGTCAAGTAGCCAGTAGAAATCTGAATCTCAAAATGGAGCCTCCATCCCATACATTACCAACTACTTTATGGCTATACAAAAATGGTGTCTATTTTCAGAACAATGTACTTAGGTGAAAGAGAAACATGAACCTACCTTACTACAAAATTAGAAAAAAAATAACTTTTTAGTGTGTGTGTGTGTGTGTGCCTTCGAGGGAGGTACCTGTGTGTTTTGAGGGTACTAAAGAAGAAGAAAAGTTCCCATTACTGACTCAGTAAGAAATTTTGATTCCTATTATTTCAGAGTATATTTACAAACTCCTGGATCTTGTTACTTACACTCAACAAACATGCATGAATTTCACTTTCATAGTCAGGATCTTTATATTATCAAAAGCAGTTTGGAATCATTCCTTACCAAAAATTAGAGCCCTCACTGTAATTTCTCAAAACTGAAAATATTTTTTTAGCTTGCTATACCCATAGTCTGAGGCCTTCCTCTCTGTGCTTTAGAAAATCAAATCTAGATCCAAGTGTCTGATGTATGAGAGACTTTTGACAGAGACCATTCACAGCCCACAGAGGTCCCTCTATAGGGAACTTACTCGGTCAGTTTTCCCTTCTGTCTGAATGCTGGTGTGGCTACGGACCTCATGATCTTCTTCAAGGTCAGAAACATCCTCTAGTTCCTCTGGAGTCTGTAAAAAGAAAGCAAAGCACAGAGGCTATAAAATGCTGCTGTCACTTTGAAAAGAGTCTGCAGGACCTCAGAAAGGTGACTATCGAGTTGAGATATCATCTCGAAATCCAACCCCAGCTATGTACACAAGAGAGGCAGTAATTCATATAAAGTTCAATGTTTTCACACCATAATATCATAATAGATAAAGGGGAAACAACTCTACTTAAGAATGCATATACAGATACTTGTCTAGCCACACAGTAGAATATAACTTTTGCATAAAGAGAGGTCAAATAGTTATTCATGTTACACAGTAGATGAAGCTTGATTATATCATGCTATGTGAAAGATGCTACTATAAAGAATACATAGACTGTGACATGAAATTATTGAAACATGAAAATCTATTCGAAGCCAATTTGACTAGTATTTTGTGAGAGAAAGATGCAAGGACTGTTAAGTGAATACATACTTTCTCTTTGGGATGCTGGCAATTTTGAAATAAGAAAAATGATGAGCACCTGTAGACCATATAATACACTCAAAATGTTGCTTTTGCTTTGAAAATGAAGCACTTAATTACATATAAATTATATTCCAATAAATGTAGAGTAGAAGGACAATTAGAGATCAGATGGAAGATTTTCAGTCAGTGCAAAGCAATTTGCCTAGCCACTATATGGTTACTCTGAACCAAGTTGCTTAGTGTTAATAAGTCAGACAAATTTCATAGGTCAATAAACTATCAGATGCCACCACACCTATCAAGAAACTACATTTTCTAGGAACTCACATGAAAAATAACATAACTTAAATTTCTCTGTGTATTATCAATAATTAGCCAATGTGCATTCTCTTTTTTCAGCATCAGTTGAGACATATCTTGCTTGGGGAATCTGTAGATAGAACTGGATAACTGAGATGGTTTGCTTCATGTCCTCAACTTGCCCTTTTCATAACTCATCACACTTTAGCTCTTTATTTGTTTTCAACTTGGCAGCTAAATATTGAATGTTCCACTGTTGTAGGTAAGAATCAGGTGATTGCACTTACCAAAATAAGAATTATAAAGTAACTGCTGTCATTACTTCAAATACAGATACAAATGCATACAAATCATGACTATTTGTTTCATTTTACACAGTCACAACCTTATACTATGATGTCTTTCATACAGAATTCTAGTGACAAATCTAGGAAAAAAATAGTTTTATACCAAAATCATTCAAAATGAAGTAAAACCCAGCCTGTTCTGTAGACATGGCCACTGAAGACCAAGTCTGATTTTCCTTAAACTTTGCTTATTATACCTTATTTGGAACATTTTCATGATTGCCCAGTGTCTTCCTTCCTTTGATACCAATCTAAAGATGGCACAGGTGCTTATTAGTTCATATAATGGAGCAAAGTATCAATTTCTCATCCACTATTGGCTCCAGGCAATTTATCGCCTCTTTTGTTCTCAAACACTTGCAATGAATGAGCAACCCCCATCGCTTCCCTGCAGAATCCTTTATATGGATTGCATCTAACTGCTAGCAGATATTAATATTCCCCTCTCACTGAGGCCTCCAGTGTGCTCGTCTTTTGTTATCTGTCCAAAGATCTTTTGCAGCTATGAGTAACAATGACCATGGAGCAACTGATTCTCTCTTCCCAGGTATTAATAGCCTGAGTTCAACACCATGCAAGTTCTACAAAAAAAAAAAAAAAAAAAAAAAAAAAAAAAAAAAAAAAAAAAAAAAAAAAAAAAAACAGTTATTAGTGAAGGCAGTTTGTATCTAGCTTCTGGGGAAATATAAAATCCACAAAACACATTTGGGCTATAGATGGAGAGTCTGATCACAGGCTGGATATCACACAACGTTAGGAGATGATTATTGAGTTTATTCAATATGATGGCATCCATAATGTTTGGACTTGACTATAATAATATTAAGATGTGAACAGCTACAATGTTTTAAATTACTTTGGAGTCTTTCAGGAGAACCCCAAACAGTGGAGCCATTATATATCACTTCCAAAACCAATTATCAGGGCACGGAGAATAAATCTTGGCAAATAGTATTCTTAAATGGATGCTATATTACATGCATTACAATCTTGGTGAATTTAGTAGCATGAGGCAATCACTAACACCCCGGTAAGCTTCTCTGGGGAAACAGGAATGCTGTATTTGTCTTCCCAAGAAAGCCAGGTCCAGACTGTCTCAGTACAATGACCTCAGCAGATATGACTAGCTATGTTTTTTTTTTTTATTTTTTGAAGCTATCTATATCTTTCGCACTTACTTTTAAAATCTTTTTCTTATCTCTCTTAATAACAGCCATGCACTCCTCTCTGAGGCACTCTGTTATGGTTTTGGCAATTGCTAGCTATTAGGCAATTCTTCATGTCCCCTCTCCTTTCTTGCTATATGACAGTCTGGACTCAATACTCGGGAACTGAGAGAACTGAGAGGAGGGTTTTCAATCTGTTTTCCACAAGATGGTTTTTGTTCCATGAAAACCATCATCAGATGCTGTTAACTGTACCTTTTCTCTCATTTTCTTTTTTTACAGTTTTTCATTTCTAGACACTTCTTCAAAAGTATCTTTCTTATCCACGTAATCGACATCAGGGTTCCTTCAGAGTTACCACTTGTGTCTCAATCCCCTCATAAAGTGACTTCCAACTGCTGGATGAATCCTGGCTGACTCAGAATATGGTCCTTCGTGCAGGGTGCAATGCTTACTCTGCAAGGAGTCTAAAACTATTCTATAAATTTCATTANAAAAACAAAACAAACACCCACACATTTCACTCTTGGCCGTTTTGTGTAGTCTCACAGGAGTTTTGAGAAAACACATTGTCTACCGCCCTCCTTGATATATCCGCCAAGTATTCGGATATATGAATATATTTTTGCTGAGAAATTCCCCTTTTTTATATTGTTGTTTTTAATTGAAGACTGATACCTCTATTGCGATCTGTTTGTGTGTTTTATTTACTACCTGGGTTGCCTCTCCATAGTGCTACATAGATTCATGATTCATTCCAATATTTAATCAAACACCAAATAAGACAAACCAACTAAAACTGTGACTGCTTTCAGAAATCTCAAGGACCATTTTTGCTGCTGGGAGAGATAAGCCTACCAATTACACCCACATACTTCCGTACTTTCTTTTTATGTAACATGGAACTAATATTTTTCTTGCAAAGCCACCAAAATTGACCTGTTCTCTTCATGAGCAAAATCAGTGGGAGAGTGTTCAAAAAACTTGCTGACACAGTTCTACATTCTGAAATGCAAGAGGTTAGAAGGCAGTGCAAAATAAAAAAAAAAGTTAAGAATATAATGTAACAGTTTAAATTAAGTGGAAGCTAAGAAAGAAGAGTTTCTTAATCATTTTCAGGGATGCAACTATTAACTTTTTCAGCTCTGAAAGCAAAGAATAGAAAGAATAAAATGGGATACAATATATAATCACCTCACAAGACAGAGCTCTTCTCAACTAGCGACTTCAGAAAACTAAACATTTAGAGGCTGGTGGTATGCTCAGTGGTAGAACACAGGCTTAGGGCGGATTCTAGTTTCATTTCTGATAAAATACCTCAACCAAAAGCAACAGAGAGGATAAAAAAAAGCACTTGTTTGGCTTAAACATCCCAAGTTACAATCCTTCATTTTGGGCAAATAAAGGTAGGAACCAAAGTAAAAAACATCACATTCTTAAACCTAGGCAGGCACATAATAAATGCATCCTGACTTGCTCGCTTTCAGCAACCTTTGTACTCCTTTCTGCAGTCCAGGACCTCATTCCTAGGGAATAGTATCACCAACAATGGGTGCTGTCTTTCCTACGTCCATGGACAAAATTTTCCTCCACATACATCCCATGGGCCAACCTGATATAAATAATTCCCCATCAAGACTCTCTTTTAAAATGATTCTAGTTTTTGTTGGCTTGACATTTAAAACTAACTAACAGCATGGGAAAGTACATGTGTTTCCAGTCAATTAGCACTCTTGTGATGGTAGACTGAACTATCATAACGGTAATTCTGCAGCGCTCAAAAACCCAATAACTTTGAATAATGCAAATCTGAATTTGAATTCTGGCCATCCCGTGAGGGACACTATACATCCTGTGAACCTTTTAAACTTTTCCTTTCCTCAGATCAGATTCTAAGTAATATTACCTATGTCAAAAGGTATTATGCAGCTCAATTGTACTATGGTTCTGCCAGGAATAAATCAGCAGACAGAGCTGTGGTATAATATGATTGTTTCTCTGTTATTTCCTTCTTCCTGTACTTTCTAATTCCTATTTATTTTTCACAAAATTTTTACATAAACTTTGATGCTTCCAATTTGATCCAAATTTATTTTCAGACTGTGACCTTAGAGAGCCCACTAAATACCTCTTACTTCAGGATCCCCAATAGCATGCTGTGTGGAGACGGTGGTTACTGAACACCTGTAGTTATATTTGTATAATTACACCCACACAATATGAGCGTGTTAAACAGGATTTAATACATTTCTGTAAATAACGCTTTCCTTATTAAGCAAGTGACAGGGATTTTTAATTAAAGTTTAGTTTTTCTTAAGATTAAAATGACCTTCCTACATGACTCTGGAAAGGGTTCACCCTAGAGTGACCACTAAGGGATAGTGGGGATGAGTTGCCTTTTTAAAGTGGACTGTGTCTGAATCTGAACAAAACAAGGACAGTTCAACTGCCCCAGGAATTTTTAAAGATTGTAGGTATTAATTAGTTGTTTCTTATATCAGAACCCAATTCATTCCATGCTTTCCTCTCAGAATTTGCTTATTAAAATGCCTTCCTCGGGGAGCCCCAAAGGGACTTGAAATAAGCTTACTACCTAATAATAATAGAGACTCAATAAACACATACTAAAATATGATTCAGTAAACAGGAAAGTCTGACTTGCCAATATCATCTATGAATATAAGCAGTCTTTATTTTTCTTAGATATGACTTCAGTTATGTAAAAGAGAACAAATAC